TCATGGATGACTAGAACAAGCAACCCAGCCTGGACTTTTGCAGTGATCTTACATGTTTATGTCTTGTGTGTCGCTATTCACGTGTAAATTTATCCTCGACAATACTGCAGGAATTCTATTATGAACTGGTAAAGAAGCAGGAGCACACTTTTTCCAGTTGACCTCTGGTGATTTGTTCTGTGATGTGGGATAAATACTGGTGACAGTGTGAATAATTGAACAGCACCTCACCTGGGAGAAGTGGAATATTAGGGCACGCTTTGCCTCCAAAAAGAGTGGGTCTTTCCCTCTTCCTGCTGTGCCGCCTCTTTACAGAGCCCTACACAAAGGACTTTAGCATTCACAAATATTTAGAAGAATTGAAGTGACCGCCCCACCTCATGCTTTTAATGAGACCAAATCCCAATTCTGTCAAAAATACATGTGAACATTTGCATAATCATTATTCCCCTTTATAGACCCTCCCCAGGACTACAGAGAAGGAGGAGATGCAGCTGTATCCGTCTCCAGTGCTAAACCCCAGTCCCTAGTTTTCACTGTGACACTGGACAGAGGTACAGAGAGATGCAGCTGGAGAAAAATATGTGCTCCTCTATTTTCCTGTTCCCCATTCAACCTTAAGTAAATAATACCAGTAATTCTCATTTTTATTTGAAAACATTTTTTTAACATGATTTAATAGAATTATTAGTAAATTTTAAACCATATAATCTTTGGAACCAAGCAGTTTATATGTCCCTGTTTCTTTAATAAACGTTTGTACAGACATTTCTGTAACTTAGCACTTTACTGTTTGAGAATGTCAATTGGATTTAAATCTAAAAACCTGTTTTGTTTTATTCATTGCTTGGTAAGGGTATTGCACAGCCACCACTGAAAAAATAATAATAAAAAAATCCCTTTCTATCTGTAGAAAAGGCATGGATTAGCTAAACAATGTTCCCTGTATAAAAATGACCATTTACAGACACAGGTCACTCCATTAATATTTTCTTGCAACATAGGGATCAGTTTATAACTGATATTTATTGCCAACAATTTCCCATGGCAAAAAGAGCTACTAGGCAAATCCTTTGTAACGCAGTGAACAGGATTGCTTGTAATATTGCCTAGAGAGCTGGAGAGTCTTGGTAAATACGTCTAAAAACTGTAACTCTGATTCAGAGTTTTCATCTCTTTGCTGAGCTGAATCGCTGTGGGCAAAGTGGGAACAATAGAGCACCTACTATTTTTTTATTGAGTTTCTATCACATTGACATGTATAGATTTGAAAGATACATGTAAGCAGTTAATAGTGTTTTAGCAGCTTTTGAAAGTAAATATTACTTAAGTAATATAAGTAATAAGTAAATATTACTTAATGAACAAGTGCCAGGTATCAACTGGCAGTTTTACAGAAAAAGCCAGAAGCCTCAGGTTTGGAAAGAAACCCAGTATGCAGAATCCAGACTCTGTCAGCCATCACCACCGTCACTGTGTGCCTTACCACACCCATGAGCCTAAGACTCCTCCAGTCTTACATTGATTGCACATACGGAAATGATTCTTGATCCTCAGATTTCAAAGCTTGCTTCTGAACACCGTCCCTACCGATTTCACCAATTTACAACACAAAATCCTACAGTTATTTTTCATCTGGTAAAATTTTGACAGTACTGAGTTACCAAGCAGAAAAAAAGTCATGAAAAAGAAATCCCCTGGAACAAAGCAATCAGGTCTTACACTCACATGCCTGTTTACACAACGGGAATCAGATGAGGATACGTGTAGCTTTTATTCAATAGTTTGTACTGAGATTAGTCCTGGCATAAAGGCAACTAACTGCTTTATCCTCCTAACTAGATTTTTTTCTATTGAATGAGCCTGTCCTTTGAGGAAGGTGGCCCGTATACCTTAAACGCCTGTTCATTCACCCTTCAATTCATTATTTTTGTCTCTCCTCTGGCTCCAACCAGAGCTGATTAAGACTGTGACTTACAGAAACAGAAGTAACTGCTCACATCCTCTCTCTCCTTGAACAAGACAAGGGGTTGCTAGTTAGGCCTGGCCCTTCATTGATTTTGCATTAAAGCCTTGACAGAAGGCTGAGAGGAACCAACAGGGGGGTTCAGGCTGGGTGGAGTGAACTCAGGCACTCACAGCTAATGCCCTGTCCTCCTGGTTCATTTGTTAGATCACAGTCTACTGGCTCTGCATGAGGAGCACACGGTGTGGGGCATATACTCAATTACTCGGGCATTGTGATTGACTTCAATTAGTTCGAGAAGAATGCTTAAATAAAAAAATATTATCAGACAGTTGGAAATGGCTAGTGCAGCGTTAACGACACACACAGATGTGCACCTCACAGCGGTGCAGCTGTTTAATAACACTCAAACTGGTTACTAAGCTACATCTGACAGTAAATTAAAATATCTTTCCAGCTTGACCTCTCGTGTCTGAAGGTCAGATGCTGAGATGACATCTCCACAAGCAGCACACATTCATTCTTATATATATATTGAGAAGTGATCTAATTTCTACCTTAAGATTGCTCATAAAAATGGATGCATTTACTATAGAATCTACTTATGAATTATTGCACATTCAAGATGTCTGAGACCCAGAAAGAATAACTCTGTCAAATAGGGTTTTGGATCATTATCTTCTTTGAGTGTGAAATTATTCCTAATCAGCATCAGCTCAAACAGCAGAGGATGGACTGAAACGCTCTATTCTTAAAGCTGATTTATAATTTAATTTATTTTGTGAGAAAGTGTCCAAAAGTCAAGCTTCCAGAATGATCCTGGCGTATTCTGATCTGGGCCTTTGTGTTTTTACCCCTTTGCTGTTTTAAATTAATCGCAGAGTATAACATATTAAAGTATTCAATAAACTGAGCTGATTATTCATTTGGTCTACACTAACAATGGTTTGATTTCATAATGTCAATCAAAACTACAGAAGCAACTGGGTGTTGTAATAAAATGTCACACACAAACACAGAGGCACACACACAACACATACAAAGCAGTTGTCTGTCAGTCAACAAAGCAGTCATATTTTCAATAATTAGAGCTGGTGAAAATGTGTGATTTGCACTAATTGCCTTGACTGGGGCTGCAGTGTAGCTACACTTAATTACCTAAGTGTGCTCTCTCCTGGGAGCCCTGTGGGGAATTGACTTTCATTTTATCACAGCAGAAATTGGAGGGATGTGGGGGTGGAAAATTGGCCTGCGCCCCTCCCTGTGTCTCTCTTCACGCCTGTCAAAGTGACAAAAATCCTTTCTGAAGCACGGTAAGTGTTCCTCTCCATCTCAGCCTGGTACACTACACCACACGCCATGTGCTTCTGAGAGCTGGCTCTGGCTCAGGCACAGTGCCGAAAGCAAAACTTTCAAGAGCACCCTAGTGAACGTGAGCCTTGGGGAGCTCTCCGTCTCTGGTAGAGGGAATTTCCCCAGTTTTCTCCATTGTCCCAGCACAAAAAATCCCCTTAAAAATTCTCATCTTGAATATCAGGAAAAGGACTAAAATCCTTGTACCTAAATGCAAATGCACACAAATGTGTGTGCATTGTTTACACATATTCTTGCTGTTCCCCTTTTAGAATGATTTTGATATTATACTGCAAATAATTTTACATTTTAGGAATGCATGCTTCCCCTCTCCTATCACATTTAGTATAATCTAATTCACTCTGACAGGCATTTCAGTAAATTCAATACACCGCAACAGCAGGATATTTAGACTGTACACGTTTTCTGTCCATTACTGAGCCAGATCGAACCAAACACATCTGAATCAATAGAAAACAGATTAAAGGGCTGCAGTGTTTCCTAACATCCATAGTCATGGATCTTCATCTGGTGTTACCTCTACGCAGAAAAACCCACAACATTTTCACATAAGAAAGAACAGGGTGGGTTGGACTAGTGGTGTTATAACAAATAAATCTCCTCGCCAGAGAAGGGAATCATGGGATTTAGTGAATGCAATTCTTTATACTCATGGCTACGTTTTTCATTTCTTCATAATTCCCATATACAGGAACCAACCAGCTGCGGAGAGCTCCTGTGAAAATGTGTTGAGACTCCCTGTGTAAGGCTCTCTGTGGGCGTTCAGCAGCTGGAGGGGTACAGTGCCCTGGTCTGTAGCCGCTGGAGGCTGCACAGTGGGAGGAAGACGGTGGGGGATCTCGGACTTGATGTCCACAGAGCTGGAAGATCTAATGACTCGGCCCCTCACTGGGCAGACCTCTGATGGTCCCCCCAGCCCTGCGCTGGATTGGTGACGCTACAGTCTGTGCAGCCCATCTGACACTTTCCTTTCCTGTGAAGCTGCTGCATGCAGCAGTGGACTAGAGGAGCAGTGCGGTGGGGGACAGTCCCGTGTTACTGCTCCTGTTACTGTACTCTTCCCTTTGAGCCTCGTCCCTGTCTGAAGTTATCAGGGTAACAACAAGGAAGGTGGTTTAATGGTGAGGTAGATTCTTGTACATGGTTTGAAGCTTGATGATACTCACAGACTGTGTCATCACTATAAATGCCAAAAGAATACACAAAAGCCTGGAAACGATGGAGTCAGTCTTGTTAATTTGCCTGCTACTATTTCAGTCAATGGCTTCCTGAAGCATCCTGCAGAGGCAGTTAGTTGATCTAGACACCCATGACTGCGAAAGAAATGCCCCCTATTTCCAGCTGATTCCTTGTTCTATAGCTGGGCTCTTGGTTTGATTTGCAATTGTAATGGTTCTGGGGGTTTCCACTCTTGCTCTCCTGCCCTGCCAGTTCATCCTTCACTGCCTGGGCGCGAACCCGAGTCTCTGGCGTCACGCAACAGGGAACTCACCAGCTAAGCCAAAGGAGAACTCCCTCAGCCCAGGAGGCGTTACACAATCTCCTCTGCTCAAGACTACAGAGACAGCTGCAGTCACTCAAAATGCACACAACGCTTGTTGTGATGAGCCTCCCCACTGAAAAGTGCTCTATTTCCAACACTGGAGTTAAATATACTTACGACAGCTCAGTCAGGACGCCTGCTGCTCCCAGGAGGAGGACCTCTGGCGTCGGAGAAATCTTTGGAGATGCTACATCACAGTCCGAACAGAGCCTGAAGTGTACAAGTGGACACTATTACATGACAAATAACACACAGAGTCCCAAACAGCCTGTTCAAGCGAAAAAGAATCATGTACATGTTGCTTGCGTAACAGCATGCAAGAAGTATAAATAACATAAGCGAGTCAGTGCTAATTCTATTAAAAATCCATTAGCATTATGTGTACAGAAAAATGTGCACCTGTAGCTGTTTATTCCTTGACTGTGTATTTCTCAAAAATCTATTAAAACGGAAGCGAATGAAGCCTTAAGAGCTCACAGGCAGCTGGCTTGTTTGCTGCTCTTCTAGGCTGCTGGTTAAGCTGTGTCAATTGAAAGGTGTGTTTGCTACAAGAACATCTACCTTCAGCTGAATCCATTAGGCCTAAACAGCTTCTGGCAGTTGCAGCTCAGCTCCTTAGCAACAAGTGCTGCTAAAAAAAAAGAAAATAAAAAAAACAGATGACGAGGCACCACTTTCCCTGACCTTTCAGTCTCCCGCTCCTCCTCCCCCATTCTGCCCCCCCCATCTGCAAACAACAAAACTCAATTCAATTTTATTCAAGTTAATTCCATTTTACGATCTCTCAGATCCTCACGCGCGTGCAGGGAAACAGACAGGGATGGCGGCACCCCTGGGACGGATGCTCAGTCGCTCTCCAAGAGAGGCAGAGGCAATATTAATCCACAGGAGAGCACTGATGCTTCGACCTAAAAAGTGAAATAAAAAGTCACCTTTTCCCTCCTAGTTTCTTTCCACTTTCTAACCCTCTAGCTTTCAAACCCTGCAGAAAGGGATTCAGGCAATTGCACCACGATATTCACAGTGACATCAAGAAAGAAAAGAAAGGAAAGCAAAGTTTTATTTACAGTCTGCAATTTGCTGTTCATCTGCTATGTAAACCAGCCTGTTGAGCTGGTGGTTGAAAGGAGCCTCTCTTGCTGCTGGCTTGAATAGACTTTGATTCAAAAACATATTAGGACTTCAGCAAAATTCCTTCAAGTCTCATTCACTTCAAAGCCAGAGCTTGGCACGGTTTGAGCCTCCATAAACCCTCCTCATACTGAGTACAAATCAGAGTAGACCATGTAACCTGACAGGTGCAAAAGCTGCATTCCAGTCCAATACCATGAAGGTCAATGCACAAATAACAAGACTGGATTCACAGTAAAAGGGAAAGGAATATCAAAAAACAACAACCCGGAAAAATATCATCGTTTGTACCACCACATGCCAGAATCTAGCCCCCTTTAACAGTCTGAGTCTTTGTTTCAGAGTAAAACTGGGCTGGTACCTGCATATTTTAGCTAGCAAGAAGATCATCCCTCAAAACCATCTTTTCCTCTAAGTACTCCCCACCATGCGCACACACTTGAAGCTCTCAAGAAACCACAAGCTTCAACAAATGAACACGCATGTGCAAAGCTCTCAGAAACACACACCCACACACACTGGCTGTGCCATCTGTAACTGCAGCTTAGAAGGAAAACACAAAAAAAAATCACTGGTACAAAACTGAGCTACTATTACGACATAAAACCTGCCATTTCCTTCTGGGACTAATTGCCTTGCATGAAGGGATAGGGTTACTTTACTGACTTATACTGTATTTTTTTTACTCAAGGCCTTACTCCGCTGTGTGGATACCTGACTCCTTCATATGCTGTCTTAAACTTTTAGTGCTAGAGGCACACCAATTAAATTACTGCCAGCTTCATATGTTTTGACAAAAACATATTCTAAGCCCGTGATACCAGGCATCTTGGAATATTATGTGTTGGTTTTAGCAGTTTTCCATACTCACAAATCAATTTTCTCGAAATCTACAGATACACTACAGATTTCTTTAAATTGCACCCGGTAATTTTGCATGCTTACATAATCGTGTTCAGAAGATACCACATTAACTCAACATCGTTCAGTAATTGCTCTGACCTGATGGAGCTCAGCCTTTTCATATTCCCTAAATCCAGACCTATTCTCGTTGGTTCCCAGTTTGATTTAAAACAAGTGAGTGGCATGAGTACTGATCACACAGAACTGAATAACATAGCCTAACTGCAAATACACTGGGCTCACATACCCTAAACATGTCACCTGATGCTGGAGTTCTCAACCTAAGATAAAACAACTTAATTAACAATTCAGCTTCACTTACTATACTTGGTTGGTGATACGTGTTCTTCCATTCTCTTTGCAATGTACCAGCCTCTCTGGCTACTCATCACCTTCCTTGCTTGGTCTCCCACTGTGAGAAATGTGAGCTTATATCTCGTCTAGGAGTGCATTTAGCGTTTGCAGCCCCATCCAAGTGATAGAAATACAAGGATATAAGAAAAGGCGGAATCTACCTGTTTTTTAGCACTGCAACACGCAGACCACTTGAGAGGCCGCCAGGCTGCTTCTAGGGCCTGGTGCCCTGGATGGGCAAGGCCCTGCTCGGAAGGGAGGTGCCGGGGATGCGGTCGAAGGCGGATATTTTTCATTGCGGTACAAACTGCTTTGGAGATGAATGTACAGGTATAGCTGCCGGTGTCTTTGTTTTCTCCAGACCTCGCTGTGGAAACGTCTGTTGGCTGGTGGCCTTTGCCTGACCGGGGCGCAGCGGGGGTCCGTGGGCCACTGGTGCAGAGAGCCTCTCCCCGCCGCCCGGATAAAAGCAGAGATCAAACGCGGCAGCTGAATCCCTATTGCTCTACAGGGAAAGGGCCCTAGCAACTCGGTCCCTGGCCCTGGTGTGGGCTGCCACACAACCTTCAAACATTCCTTCCAAATGCTTCCTTTTCACACAGGCGCTGTCACATGTTTGATGTTCCTTTAAATGCCCTGCAGTGGTACACTGCTTTCAAAAGGCCTGCTTCTTGTTCAAAAGCAGACATGCCTTTTCAAGGTCAGGCTGGGAGAGAAAGCTGCCTGGCACGCTCCTTGCCTCAGCAGCGCACACACTCTCATACTGAGAGCAACAGCTCAGACCTTTCTTTGTGCAGAAGGCGAATCTACTTCAGGTTTGCGAGCTAAAGACTCTTAAAGATGTACGAGAGAAACAGGCAAGCTACAGTATGTGTTTAATGTTGTTTTCATTACTATGTCCATCTATCGCCAGTTTACTCAAAATTTGGTGACAATCTTAAAGTACCAAGCACCTGGCACTGGCTTACATAAGAGTCTGCAGCCCAGAAAACCTTGAACAGGGCTTGTTGTTATGCAATCAAAATCTTATTTTTTACCCTCTCTTTGTATATAGTCTGCTGAAATCAAATTGCAGGACTGGAAGAAAGATGGCAGACCGTTCCCTTTCTGTCGTGCCCAGGTTAGCATGCCCATCTGAAATGGATTCACAGATGTTAAAGAACTGGTACTGGTCAAATATCACATGAGGGGATAGGTGTAGCCACCTTCTGCTATCTCTAATATACAGGGAGCAATTGGAATTGTAAAACAGTGCTGCTGTGTTTGAGAATAAACAGACAATGTTTGTTATTAAAATAGATCTTAGTGTTCCAAATGATTAGTTCATCTGAATAATGGCTAGACTGCCTTGTTAATGACCCAGCATTTAATAACACTGAACTTGGCACACTTGCGTGCCAAATCCAGACTTTTTTTTAGATAGAAACTAAAGGAAAGTCAACATTTCTTATTTGCAGCACAAGCTTCTATGACATAAGCCAAGGTAGGTCCCAAACTCAAGCCAAACTATATTTAATGCATCAGTTTAATGCATGCACACATTTCCTTGTTTGAACACCTGCTCCAAATGACTTACTGCAGGATCCGGAAAACACATGTACTTCCTAATCTGCAAAAACAAATTTCTGGGAACATTTTCTGCTAGAAATGTTATCATAAAGGGACAGCCTGTCATCTTTAATTTGAAATCAACCTGCTTTGTCTCTTTAATGGCTTGACAGTGTTCAAGAGTGCTTGTGTGAGTGACTGGATAAGGGAACCATGTCTCTTTGCACACTGGGAGCACACATCACCATGACACATCATCTGATTGGTAAGAATTATTTCAATTGTATTAAATTATTTTAAAGTCTATAATTAAAAACTAATCTCAGACCATGTGTGCTTCATGTTGGTTGCATTTTGCTATGTTTCTATGAGTTCAAACACGGAATAAATGTTCAGGATTCTATCTACATTCAAACTCCTACTGTCCTCCAATAAACTTATTTATGAAGAAAAACTGAATTTTCATACATTGCCGTATCGAATAAATGAAAACAAATGTCAAGCCAGTCAGGAGTCATGGTCTTGATCTTAATATTTCCCATCAGCAAATACTGTTTCGGGATAATTGAGAGCGTTTTGTGCCTGCTTACGCTATGTCCCCTGACACTGCTTTAATCAAACTTCGTCACTTATCTTCTACCTATTAATAGACACTGCCATTAACATGAAACCAGCTCAGAAAGAGCTGAAGTAAGGATTCTCTCATGCCAAGTAATATGGTGCTCACAATCTGTGTAATGTTTCTCACAATCTGGCGCTGAAGCAGAGACATCCTGTGAAACACGATCATCTTTCAAAAAAGCATTTCACTGACATGCAGGAGGATTTTAGTTAAGCAGGTGCATTCCTGTTTTGATTACAAATCCGAACAGGTCGGTTTTCTAAAATATCCCTAATATTCATTCCAGGTATTCTCCTGTGAAGATATACTGTTTTCTATAATATCATCGTAGTTTGTTTTCTGAAGTGCTCGGATGCATACAGTACGTACTGTACGTGCGTGCACAACAAAACAATCATATTAGGTCATTTCAATAAATTAGGGACATACAGTAGTTATTTTTTTTTTAAAAGCATTGTGGGTTTTAACTCCTTGACACAATTGAGCCACTAACGCAAATTACAGTTCCTGTGAGAACAGAGAACACCACAGTCTGTCGATTAGGGAGTTCGCGATCTGATCCTCTGGAGAGGTGAGAGTTGTATTTGCACCTCAAATCGGCCGCTGCGGTACTTTCATTTAGATTAAATGGGACGAATTATTAGGTAATATGGACATTGCTGACGGTGGCAGAAGGTGTTAAGGGTTGTGTTTATTTGTAGGATTTTTCAAAATATGGCAACGTTTTCCCTAAATTCTAATCTTAAACTCTTCCCTTCTTCCGCCAGCCCCCATTTCATTTTAGCGGCGCGTCCTGCCTTCCTGTAACCAGTTTGAAGTTTGGATCGATATGTAACATGCTGACAAAAATGAACAGTATAAATTCAATTTAGGTAAGGTGCACAGAGTTTATTACTGCTTGAAGGTGTTTAGGATTTTTATACATAGCTTTTCTTAAAATCGTCTTGAAATTCGTGCACATTGAACAGGTTCGAAACCAGCATTAGCAAAACAGATCACCTTCAACTCCCTCCGAACAGGAACGTAACAGGAACAGTAAGATCGCCACAGCAGGAAAACCTTTTATTTCCATTCCCTTTTCTGCACAGTCCTAGCTTGTCGGGTCTATGTCAGCACTCAAAAATCTTAATCTGAAACTTTTAGAAAACCACTTTCCCGATTTTCCACGGGAAATTTAGGGCTGGTTTCACCGACGAAGGTTTGCGTACAGTATTCCTGCACTCGTTCCCATGAAATAACGTTATATAGCCCAAGACTATTGCTCACCCAGAAAACACTAGGAAAAGCATATAATCGTGCTGCTGAGCACGGAATTCACAAAAAATATAGTTTAGGCGTTTCGATGCTTGAAAAGATAAATCTAAGAACGCATAAATGAACAACAAATTAAAAATGGGATTACGTCATATTAAAAAGAACAAAATAAAACGACACAACTAGCGCTTAGACAGAACAAATGTGGTACAATCTACAAACAGTGGGCTACAGTGTATTAAATTAACATAAATTTATGTTATAATTAGAGAGCTTGTAGTAGATTTTAATTCAAATCCCTTTTTGTTTCCGTTTGAACGAAATTATATATACACAAGTACATATGAATGTAGAAGAGGTGTTTCAGAAGGTGAAGGAACATATTGATACATAAAGCTATATAAGCTGGTCGACATTGTAAGAACTGTAAAACTGGGAGGCCGTGTATTGCCAGAGTGATATTCGCGATCATCTCTCTCGTTAATACAGTCGAGCGCAGCCTATAGTTTCTGTCTGGGGCTCACAGGGGGTCTGCGGTGCTCTTCAAAACGTTGGCCTTTAGAGATCCTAGTGAAAGGAAATTGCAAATGACATCCTGCAGGTGATACACGCCCCTTTTTGAATCAGTATGTACCAAAATAATTGATTTGTGTCCCGTTTCTTATGGAGAACCCGACAGACAGTGGATCCTTACCGTAAAATGTCACATTGTATATTTTAGCTTGACAGTGCACACGATATAACACTGGAAATAGCTCGGATCCCGTAGAAATGTCTTAAAGCACATTTTTCTCAGCACCAATTTTCATGACACAGTGAAAGTTCTCGTGTAACAAAGATCTCTGAATTAGTTGATTTACTGTCGCTTCAAAACTCGGGGCAAGGTGTATTGTGCAAAGCAAGAATCTGGTGACTGTTTCACCCTCACGTGCAGGACACGCAATGACATATGATCGAGTAATAAGGCTCCACAGCCGAAACGTTGTGTTTCTTTTCTTCTCTTTTCAACATAGAATAAACCTTTACTTGTTCCCTTGTCTCCTATACAGCAGCTGGGCCATAGCATGCCTTCGCTTAGGCCACGAAGTATGAAACGGCTTTAGCACTTAAATCTTAGGAATTCAGAAAAAAAACACTCGTTTGCCGTAGTCATCCACACATTAACACAGTAACCCGAAGCCGAAGCCACAGTGTTCAAGGCAGAGCTACGCCCTAGACTGGACGCAGGACACGCACACAATTTGGAGGCGAACAATGAACT